GCAGAGCATAGCTAAATGCAAAATGAGGGGATTTAATCAGCACCAATACAGATTTGTTAAGAATATGTGTCGCCAGTTCCATCTCTTCATTTAAACAAAAATGGAATCTTATATGAGTAGCCTATGAATTCAAAGCCAACCTAAAATTGACTTTTTGGAGGGAAGCTGTTGCTCGTCCTTTAAGTTCTTACCAACACATCAGGCTACCATGGCCAGTCTGGAGACCTCCAAGTCCACGGACTGAGAGCTGATGTCACACAAGGATGCAGGCCAAAAGCAATCATTGAAAGTTCTTAATTTGATAACAGATATGTTAATCACATAGAAAGACAGTGATACAGCATCCTTAGCTTTGATTCTGCAGAATAGAATTAAATTTTTATCTTCACCTTTGTGAATCTTTCTCATTCTTTAAGACTCAGTTCAAGTTCTGCCTCCCCCAAATAAATCTTCTTAATTATACTCAATCAGTGTTCTCTTCATCTCTGAAGTCTCTAACATATAGTACTTACATGGGTTGGCAATTATCTTGTCACAGACATATTGTCACCTCCCCAACCGGGTATTACATTTCTTTATATCCTCTAAAATGCCTAGCACAGTGATAAAGACATACTAAAGACTCAAAAATACTTACTGATTAGATAATCAATTGGTTGAAGGTTTTATCTGAAATCATTTTATACTCCCTCCAATCTTTTTTTTTTTTTTCTTTTAAGGGGGAGGATCCAGATTTTTTTACTTTACCATTTTGGCTCTCCAACTTATTCATTAGTTGTACAAGATTTTACCTTGGTTTGCACACAGAGACCAGGGATTATATTCAAAATATTTAAAATCATTATGTAGGGGTGACAGAGTGGAGCAGGTAACCAGGGCCACCTATTGTGTCAGGCATTAACCCTTTAATTGATGAATTACAGGCAAGGCTCGGATATGGAAGGGGATGGCCAGAATGGACAGAATGACTGAAAGATAACTAGCAGGGCAAGGTCTTTCTACCAACAGAAATGGACGTATTTCAATAGTTTTCAGTAGTTTAGCAACTTGTATAGCAAGAACAGGGCAAACTAATAATTACCTATCTTTGCCTGGCCCTAAAAATCTTCAAACGTAGTGATTGCAAGCAGGGGAAAAAAGCAGCCACCGTGCATGGTCTGTAGAGAATTCAATCCCCATTCTTATATGTGGAAGTTTTAAAAAAAACAAATAGAAAGATTCCCCATCCTTTTCCCCAGCTTTATGTAGTCACACTTTACATGTACTTTAGAATTAGTTGAAACTATCAGGACTTTGTTTCTAAACTACAGCTTGGAGTAATTTATTTTAGGATTACCTAATGGCACTTTTTAATATTAATAGTTGTCATTTTCTATGCATTCACTGACCCTGCAAACAATATTATGAAAAATTGTTATCTTTATACATCCCATTTTGTTTCAAGAAAAATACTTAGGAAAATTCAAAAAAGATACCAAGCAATAAGATAAAATACATTTGGTCTATGTGGAATGAGCCAGATAAAAGTTTAGAAAAGATGGAATTAGGAGTGATGTTTGTTGTATTCAAAGTACTTGCTATAAAGTCTGATACGTTTGCAAAAAGTGAGCTATGAATTTGGGCTCTAATCTTTCTAGCAGATAAAATGTAGAGGGAAACATCAGTTATAAAATACACAGAGTCCACTGAGATAAAAACAAACCAATTGCTCAAAGAAACACACTGATTCATTCTCCTGAGACTGCTATCAATAATTAAGGTGTTTGCTTAAAATGGAATTGTTTTACACAACTATTTTCTTTAATCAAAAGCTTGATGTAAAAAGGAAATTTTAAAAAACCTTACTTTTGCAAGTTTCCCACTTAAAATGAACTTAGTTTATTCAAGCCTCTCTTCTTCCAACAAAATTCTACAAATGATTGAAACCCCTGTGAGTAAATAAGCCAGTCTAACAATTTTGAATATTGATCTGAGTAGTCTGATCCTATTAGAGTGTTTGTTCCCTCTGACCTGTCAAAACCTGAAGGAAATAGGCACAGATTTACATGACCTGTTTTTGGCCCTTGGATCTCCTCAAAGAAAACAGTAGTCAAGTGTCAAGGACAAGCTTAGCCCTTGTAAATATGCCACAGCATTGCCAACCTCAAGTCTAGAATCCCATTTTGAGCAATTACTAGTAGGCCTGTTTAATTTGAAATTCAATTTATGTGGCTCTTAATTCTAAGCAACTCCACTGTGAGAGAGAGGCTTTTCTAGTGTACATTTGGGATATGTCCCTTTGTGTTTCTGAAGAAGAGACATGTTTTAGAACTTTTTGTTATAGATTGATGTAATTGGCTTCAGCAATTAAGAAGCAGCATTCATTTCTCAAGCATTTATGGAAAATACATATTAATAAGCAAAGAGTCTCTCTCTCTCTCTCTCTCTCTCCCTCCCTTCATTTCCCAAGAGGCTTCTTGGAGGAAACTGGAAGGTGTGATGTATTTGTCATTCCATCATGCTCTATTTTCTCATCCAATACACTAAATCAGATAACAACAAAGAGCAAAAATAGGGACAGAGTTCGAAAAGACCTGGGCTTATGCATCACTGTGATCACAGCCTCCCTGAAAGCTTACTGCCCAGGAATCAAGAGTCTGGGGCTGGCACTGCAGTGCCCTGGAGGCATATAATTAACGTGATGCAGTCATGAGTAAGAGAACAAAATGCGTATCATTTTGATCATTTTGCTATTGACCCACCGAATCATCAAATCCTCTGAAGTTCAGTCGATTTTTTTGGTTAAGTTTCAGAATACATGATAAGGGTGAGGCAGGTACATTTTCAACTTTTTCTAAAATTCAGAATGTATAATTAGTATTACCCTGCTTGCTTTAATTGTTCTGAAACTGTAGAGGACTTGAGGAACTATACAAAATTATTTGGTTTAATGAACTCAGTTTTCAACTTATCTAAGTCGCTAATCTTATTTCCTTTAATAAGGGCATGAACAAAACTCCCCTGGCTCATTAATCCTGAAATCAGAAGTCGACTCCAAAGGGAAAAGTACTTAATATACTTAAAATGTTGAACATTTTTACAGCCCTTTCTCCTAAAAAGTCTTATTTAAACCTATCTTATGAGAAAGTTTTTTTTAGCATTGAGAGTTTTTCTCTTAGCACAGGTGCCCTCAATGGGCATATAATAGAGCCTTAATAAGTACTCACTGGCAGAAAAGGAAGGAAAAAAGGGAAGGAGAAAATGAGGAAGGAAGAGGAGGAAGGAAAAGAGGAAGGAAGGAAGGGAGGGAGGAAGGAAGGAAGGGAGGGAGGGAAAGCAAGGCTCATTTTACATATGAGAAAATTCAGAGTAGTTAGAGATTTGTCAAGGCACATTGGGCTGGTGGGAATAACCTCAAATCTTTAAATCCACCATTCTTTATTGCTCAAAATGGCTTTTTGCTCTGCTTAGAGAATGAAATAAAATTTTCATTTTCTAGAATATCACAGTATCATTATTTGTGATCTCCAAATTGTTGTTCGCTGATAACATTTGATTTCAGTTGTTCACCAGTCTCCTATTCTGCTAATTTCTATTATTACTCACTGTAATGAAAGATTAACTCTAGCTGCCAACATATCCCAAAATTAGACCAATATTGTCGAGTGTTACTAGCAGCTTTAAGGCATGAGTTCGGTATTTAACTTTTTATGCTAATTCTTAATTTGTTTCCAAGGCTTTAAGCAGAAACTTCTCATTTGCAACTCAAACTATAGGGGCATGATTTCTTTTTTTTTTTTTTATTGTTGCTAATTTATCCATGTCACTCATTTTAGCTCCTAAGCAAATAACTGAATTTTTCATTCAAACTTCTCAGAACTATCATAGTAAAAATAAGAATACATAAAGGTGCAAGATGGATACATGGAAGATAATATGGTTGGCTCAGGCTTACAGTGAATAACAAATGTGTGCTCATACTATTCATTTCAGATTGTTGTTGACTGCATAATGCCACTGGTGTGGATTGAATTGTATCCCCTCAAAATTCATATGTCCAGGCCCTAACCCCCAATGTGATGACATTTGGAGGTGGGACCTTTGAGAGGCAGTTAGGGTTGGTTAAGGTCATGAGGGTAGGGCCCTCATGATGGAATTAGGGGCTTTATAAGAAGAGGAGAGATAGATACTGCTCACTCTCCACCACGCGAGGACACAGCAAGAAGGCTGCCACTTGCAAGGCCTGAATAGAACTCTCACCAGGTTCAAACCAGCCTGAACCTTGATCTTGGATGTTCCAGCCTCCAGAATCAAGAATCTAGGGATTTCAATCCCAGTTATGTCTTAGTGAGTGACCACAACCCGATTGAAATTTCTTTTTCTTATCTGTAAAATAGGGCTGGTAATAGAATCATGAGAAAATAAATTTCTGCTGTTTATGCCTCTAGTCAATGATATTTGTTATAGTAGCCCAAGGAGATAATACATGTGCCTACAATTTTAATTTAAAATCTAAGTTGTGTTTAGTTCATAATTAATGAGATGTTTAGAACCATGTTTTAGGCCTTTTACCATTTAACAAATCTTTCCTGGTCATTTCTATTATTAATTTTTACCAGTATTTTTTTTTTACCAGTTTTGTTTGTTTGTTTGTTTGTTTTTTACCAGTATTACAAGTAACTGTCAAGCGTCTCACCTTTTCATAAAGAAACATGATGCAGGCAGGGCTATTAAAATATCATGATAGTTTGTCAGATTCCCACTGAGCCACCAGATTTCAACTTGAGGGTCAAAGCAGGTTTCTTGAGGCCCACACCAACTCATCCTCTATGAGTCACAGATTTCTAGAAAGAGCATTCAATGCTAAGAATTCAGTGGTACAAATTAACTTGCCCCTACCTCCCTCACCTTGGACATTTTTCTATCAAAGTTCCTACAATGTAGTGTTACTATTTTTACATATCAAAATCTCTCTCCTGGGCTCTGGATCATGTCTTACCTGTTGTTGTTTTTCTTCTTAGCACCAAGCATGGAGGCTGGCATCAAATGAACCTTCACAACTGTTTGGTGAGTAAATAAAGAATTGAATGAAAAAGCCTGAACTAACATATGAATGCAACATGATAAAGTAATTAGGAGTGTGGGCTTTGGAGTCAGGCAACGTGGATTCGAATCCCAGTTATGTCATGTCCTAGTGAGTGATCACAACCTCATTAAACCTTCCTTTCCTCACCTGTAAAGTAGAACTGGTAACAGCACCTCACTGACATGAACAAACAACAAGATAGTGCATATAAAAGACTTAGCATAGTACTGGCATCAAAGATGTTACTCTGATGAGTTGCCCAACCTCTTTAACTGTGTATGTTGTCCAAATATATTTCTTACTCTGTTTACCCTAGTACCTAGTGGGAAAAATGGGGGCCATGCGGTTTACCTTAGAGGGGTAAGAAAATTCAGTCAGAGAAGACAGTGAGTTGAAAATACAACACAAATGCTAGGCATGATTGTTATTATTCCACTGTGCAGAAAAGGAATATTTTGAGGAAGCAGTAGTAAAAAAGTAGAATAAGCCTCCAACTCAGATTTGAGAAGCAGTTTTAATCTTGGTTCTACCCACCTAACTCTGGACAAGGCACTTAAACTTCCTGGGCCTCCATCATCTTTTCTAGAAAATAAGACGTTAGTCTAGATCATTTTTCAAATTGATTCTGTCTCTAAAATTGTACAAGCCTAAGTCTCTGTTATTTATACATCTGAAGTTTTATCTCTTTCCTGATAATATGGCTATGGAACATCACTATATCTCCAGGAGGGAAGTGAGTAGTCAACAGATATTTTAGAGGTGGACAAGCTGAAATGCTATGTGACTAGTCCCCAGTCCAGCAAAGGTCAGTGACAGAAGACACAGATTCAGAAAAAGAGATGCCTCCTCCTTCTCAGGAGTTCAGGAAGATGCTTTTCCACTGAGTTTCAATTGATTCTATGTTTAAAATTTTCTTAGTTAAACAAGTTATGGTACCTATAAAGGAATACAGTAGACTCATTAAAATGATGCGGTAGAAAAGTTTTAATAAGATAAAAAGATATCAATGAAAAATGGTTAAAAAAATGAACATATCATATATCCATCGTGTGCACACATACAGACTCACATGCACACACTCACTCTAGACGTTAGTGATATAGGCAGTTTCTGAGGATTCAAGGTCATGAAGAGTCATTCAGGTGGGCGACATAGTAAGGAATTGAAAATACATTAAAAGGTCTGAGGTTCAGGCTAAAGGATTGACTTCAGTGTCTCTCTACAGATGCACAGTTCCCCAGTACTTCAGATTTTGTGCCTTGTTTGGAAGTTATATATGTGGAAACTATTGCTTGCTCAACAATTTTTTGAGAAAATGTATACTAAAGCCTCTAGCCCAGTACCTGTCCATACTAAGTGTTGAAGAAAAGTTTAGTTCCATTCTCTCTGTTAGGCCTTACTCAGCGAGGGGGAAAAAAATGTCATCCTGCATTTTTTTTCTCCATAATTTAATCCCTCTTCTCAAAATGGTCTCCCAGACAAACTCACTTCCCTTTTGATTTTAGAGGTTGGGAAGCAGCAGTTTATTACTTCATGCCCATCTAACTGTTTCGGCTTAACTCCGTACATTTGCTGTCTGGATATATTTGGGGAAGAAGATTATAGGAGATGCAAAAGCAAAGCACTACTTTTAGCTGTGCCTACAATAGAGTTACATGTTGATTTCATAACTCAATTTTTCGTCAATAACTCTTGAGGTCATTAAGCATTTTTCTTGTCGCTAAAGTTTATTTCTGGCACTTCCTGTCTGCCCACACACACACTTATTCCTCAGTCCTTCCATACTTTGTGTTCTTTTTAACTGATCTCTTATTAACAAAAAATGAAGGAGATATTTCAGGGATCTAGTACATTTTAGAAGTAAGCAAACTGAAATGGACTGAATGCATTAATAATATACCATTGTACATAAAAATATGAGAAGCCTTTTATTAATTTCATTGTCTTAGTTACTTTATTTGTCTGGGATGTTATGTTCCTATTTCTTTACCAGGAAACTACTACTCCTTTGGCCAAGGTACAGCCAATCAGCTCTTTCAAACTCATGACCACACCATTCATTTCATTTTCCAACATTAGCTTAGGTGGGTATTATAATAAGAGGATGCCTGTAACAGCTACAGCAGATGGAACTGCAATCATGTGTTCCCTAAAATATTAGCATTTGGAACTCTGTAGATCAGGGAAATACAGAGGAATGTGGAGAGGAGGAACAAGGATTTGGGAGATTTGTTTACCCATATGAAAACCTGCCAGTTGCCTACAATACCTATAGGTTCGAGGATATCATGCTAAGCCTTACTCTCAGTTAAAGAAATACAAATTAAGATAATTATAAATCAGCAGTTCTGAAGGTTTAGAGTGCTTAAGACTTGCCTTGAGAGTTTGTTCAACATGGGGATTTCCAGACTCCATCTCAAGAGACACTTTGAGAAGATCTGCAAGAGAGCTAGATTTCTGAACTTTTTAACAAGCATGCCAAGTGATTCTAACGCAGGAACATCATGCCCCATGCTTTGATAAAAATTGCTTGATAGCCTAAAACCATGCCTGAGAAGTTAGCAAAATAAGTAAAAGTTATAAAATCCAAAGTTTATGGGACTGTGAATAGGGACATTATTAATTGCAGTATGAATTTGCTGTAAATTAGAGAATAATACACAGCAGAAACTATTAAAACACCCGGAAGCCTGTTGCCTGGTATTTCTTTGGGGAGGGAGGGCATCATAACCCAAGGAAGTATCCTATAAGGTTTACTTTAAAGCTATTATTTAAAAGACAGTGAAGTACTATTTATAATATAAAATATTAAACAATAAAAATTATTAGTAATAAGCAGTTTATCTATTAATAAATGTTTGTTTAGTACTACTGTGAAAGATAAAGTGCTACACCCTTTATGAATATTACCATTTAATTCTTATTTTAAGAAAACCTTATTTTGGCTGAACAAACAAGATTTACTAACATGGACATACACTATGTAGATATTTTGGTCTCATGTTTGAGTCATAATGATTCATAAAGATATATAAACTAACATAAGGTGAAAATGGTAAAACACAATAACCTCATTGCAACTTTTAATAGAGATGTAAGTATTATCAAAGATTATCAAAGGGATTAGTAACATAAAAGAATAGCAGTGTGTACTAGATGTTTAATCAAATTATTTACTGTACAATTTTTAATTTATTCTTAAATTTTATTTTTTTTAATTTATTTATTTTGAGAGAGACAGACAGCATGAGCAGGGGAGGGGCAGAGAGAGAGGGAGAGGGAGAATCCCAAGCAGGTCTACTCTGTTAGCACAGAGCCTCATGTGGAGGCTTGACCCCAGGAATTGTGAGATCATGACCTGAGCCAAAACTATGAGTTGGAGACTTAACTGAGCCACCCAGGTGCCCCTTCTTTATAATTCTTTAAGAACACATAATTTCATATATTCACAGGTCAAAACAAAGATGAAATAATTTCAATATGTCAACAATATGAAGATTAGAGGATGGAAATTATAAAACCACCAATATATTCAAATGAATGGTAGTATTATATATAAACATATAAAGGGAAAAGACGGAAATTAGTTTTGTATGATCTAGATTAAGATCAGAAGTCCTGAGTTAACTCTAAATGTTTTTTTGAAACTTAGAAATATTTTTCAAAAGGTCTAGGTAAAGGAGCCCCTGGGTGGCTTAGTTGGTTAAGCATCCAACTCTTGGTTTCAGCTCAGGTCATGAACTCATGGCTTTGTTGGTTCAAGGCCCACATTGGGCTCTTCACTGGCAGTGTGGAGCCTGCTTGGGATTCTCTCTCTGCCCCTTCCCACTTGCACTGTTTCTGTCTGTCTCAAAATAAACAAATAAACTTAAAAAACAAGGTCTAGGTAAATTTTAGAAGTCAAATAAACACTGGATTTTACCATTTCCCCTAGCTTTTTCAACAGCTTTGGCTAGCAAGTGATAGGTTTCTCTTTCCATCAGCAAGACCACCTGGACCCCATCTCCTAGACTCCCTTCTTTCAGTAATGAATCATGATTTCAGTTATTCCCATACATACTGCTAAGTAAAGCCCCAGGACAGCTATAAAGATAACCCCTGTGATGACTCCTCTAGAATTACATTTTATGTACAGATCAATCTCTCACTGTAATCTTTTTAAGTCCCTTTGAATTGGCATATTGCCAGAAAGGGGTTGATAGTCCCCTTGATAGCTTGGTAATTTTAGTCTTAAAGAAAGTATGTGTGTTTTTTTTAGTATATATATATATATATATATATATATATATATATTCACTAAGTATATATGTATACTAGTATAGTATATATATATATATATATACACACACACATTATACCGTATTGTACAATATACACCATCCTGTACTGTACAATACTGTACTATAGTGTATATAATAAATCTAATTTTATATATACACACACAAACATACATATGAATTTACAGTAATATCGAAGTCCATAGGAAAAGTTATTTCAAGTTTTTGACATTTAGCCACTTGGAGGAAAACTGGCAGATTCATTCCAAAATAATTAATTTTTGCTGAAAACACTCAGAGGTCTGTTTTCCCAAAGCAGTCCTATGAGCCATGTGCTGCACTGGTAAGGACATACTTCATTGGGCACCATCATTGCTTTCCCATCTGGCAACAGGTGGCCATTAATATGAAATGTTATACTAACACTGAAATGAAATTCATGCATAATCAGTGATTTTGGAGAGTGCAAAAGTGTTTGAAAGTCTGAAAACTGCTCATTTCTTCAAACAAGCAAGCCTTCATTCCAAACTCTTCAAAAAGAGGAAATGAGCCACTGGTATCAGGTATAAAGAAGTGGTTTTCAAACCTTCTGCATTTGTAGAAATTAAACCACCTGGAAAAGTAATATGTAGAATTGAAATCCTTCTGGTTAAAAGCAGAGTAAGCACTGTGATAGCCCACCACAAGCATGGTGGCCCTAGTGG